TTCAAGCCCGATTCAGAAAGGCCGTTGATTTCCCCTCTGATGTCCCATGTGAAGCAGATCGGCCCGGTGCCTCAGACGGAACCGGTGATGGACATGCCTAAACCAAACACAGGCCTTGTCTAAATCACCGGCCTGTGTTCTGATTGCCTTTTCGAATGCGGGCTGCGGGAAACCTGTCGATGCATTGTTTTTCTTGCCTATTACAAACTACACCTGTGACACCAACGTACTTGCCCCTTTATTTTTTCTTTGTACCTGTTGTTTAATTGTTCCAGTGAACTTTGGACCATCAAGCCTGGCTCCCTCCATTTCATATGTGCATCATCTCATCCATATAGCCCACATGACTGCTCTTCTCCCTATTGTGAAAAGGTTTTGTATGAATTCCTCATAGGGCTCTGACATCCATGCTTCCAAGAGGATACTCCTCCATCCCCATGGCCATGGAATTTGTGGCCCTAGTTGAGACCAAACTCGGTCCCACCATCTCCAGAGTCAAACAAAACTTGGGCATTGCGTAAAAATATGCTCGATAGTTTTTGAATTAGTCTATTGGGAAAGGCTGTTTTACAAAGTCTGCACCATCGATATGCCTTACATGTACGTTCTAAAGTAGACATGTCCATCAACCAATCATTAGTGGGGGACATCTGTGATCAATCTGCCATTGAAGTGAGACCACTTTGGCTGGTTTGGATTTCATTAGATTAAACCACTTAATATTCCTTAAATCCTCCTTACTGATATTGAGATGGTCCATCCATCTAGATACTATGTTGTCTTTTAGATTGATTTTCACCCTAAGCATTCGATATGTCGATTTGACTGTCAGGGTGTGAAGAGTCCGCTTATAATCCCTTTTACTTTTCTTTTCTTTACTTGGCGAAACCCAAATCCAGCTGGCGGGGTCAAATGGTAAATCTAAAATGGGAGGGAGTGGTCTAAAAGCTAACCATTGATCTTTCTTCCGTAAAACGCTAATTCTAAAAATTTGGTCAGTTTGTACGTATTTAATTTGGTCTTGCCCTTTAGGAATGAGAGTATGGTCTTGTAAGAGCTCATACAATTCTAAAATTATATCCCCATTTGGGAACTTGTCTAAAATATTACCAATTTTATGAGTCTAAAATATTACCAATTTCACGAGGATGGTTTTTGACTACCCCGCAATCATTAATTTCCAGCTTGGGCCCTTTCCGCAAAATTCGAACTCATTCCAGGAGGATTAAATCTATTATATGCTCTAGTGCCTTGTCTGGATAATGATTGTAACGAAGATGTTTCTTCAAAAAAGATGAGTCAATCCAGTCATTTGTGTGTCTATCCCATAAGTCCTTAATTCTCAAGATTTCTTTTTTGACCCAATCCTTCCAAGGAGAGTCTATACAATTCAGGACACACCGTCCCTTACACACAAAACGAGTCAGGCACATGCCAGGAATATAGCCGAGCAAGACTGAAATAGACCCCTGCCAGAAGGAACCTCGTCACCTTATAACATGCGGCGGATAAACTGCCACTATACCAAATACCCTTTGTCCATTTCTACTCCTGGTCGAACCATTGTAATTCTGCTATTGCTGTGTCTGCCGAGGAAAACATATCTGGAAACTCCTCGGGGCTCTTAATCGGAATGTTGGGTTCGACCTGCAGCCAGTCCTTGAATCTGAGGTTGTAGTCCTTAGTGAAGTCGCCACCGCATCCCTCATTCCCCTGCTCCCCAGGTCATTCGACCTGTGCCAGCCTGCCACCCCTGTCGCCCCCCAGCCGATCTGTGCAGAAGGCATGTATTTCCTTGATAATATCTGCTTTTTGTGTGAGGTGTTACACCCGTGGGAATCTCTGATCCATCGGTTGTTGAAGAGAGGCTGTTGGCATACCTCTTCCCATCTATCGGAGGAAATCTTGTCAGTCAGAGGCAACTTTCTCCAGGTTTTGAGCAAGGAGACTAGAAAGGATCTTTACATAAATCCTTCACAGCAGCATGTCTGTCAGAGGCTATTAGCCCTGTTTGATCTTTGTAAGTGCCCCTAGGAAGAGGCTAGGAACAGTTCTCCAACTACATTATGGGGTCAATCTTTTCCGATGTTTGGGGAGCTAATCGTTTAATTCGTTCCCAAGCTAGTGCTGCCCGTTGGTTCTGTGGATTAAACAGGAGACGCTTAATCCATGGGATAGATAAGGCTATAGCTTGGGTGGCTGGGTCAGTTACCCCTAGCCCCCCCTTAGTCTTGGATTGGATTATCGATTGTGAGACAACTCTACTAATAACATTCTTCATTTCATGATTACCCCTCCATAAGAAGGCTGTTAACTGTTGTCGGAATACAGTGCTGCTTCATCTAGAGGCCAAATAGCTGACTTGTACCAGATTGAAGCTAGGACAACGTTAATAATTGCCAAGGTACGTCCTAGTAATGATGAGTGTTTATCCTTCCATAATTCCAGCTTCATATGGGCGTTTTGAGTACCACATCAAAGAAGCTGGTGAAGCTACTCTAGCTTTTCTTTCCTCCTTTGGGCGCAACCAGCTTCTTCATTATGGTAGGTTGAACTGAGCCACAGCTTGCTTGTGCACCTGGATCAGCCTTCTTCTTCTTCTTCTTCTTCTTCTTCTTCTTCTTCTTCTTCTTCTTTTTCTTTGTTGTCGTCATCTTTGTCGTCATGGTTGCTGCTGCTGCCGGTGCTGTTGTTGTTGCTGCTGCTGCTGCTGCTGCTGCTGCTGCTGCTGTTGTTGTTGTTGTTGTTGTTGTTGTTGTTGTTGTTGTTGCCGTTGTCGTTGATATAAGCACAAAAAAAGGTGTAGGACAGAAATAGCCCATTCACGCTCAAGAGATGTGCACATCCAGGTGTATTCTGACCATCCTAAGGCTCAAGTCCCACTACTGTCTTCCCCCGAACACAACGCACCCTGATAATGAGCGTATGCAACCAATGTTTCCGGTCGGGTACAGTCATAATGAGGGTGCGTTGTGTTCGGGGGAAGAAGGTAGCCAGGGTTTAGACTTGGTTTCGACACGTGCAAGTTCCTGCCATACGATCTGAGAATCTCACGGACGCACGGTGACTGCATTGTGAAGTACTTGAAACCAAGTCTAAGCCCCTGCTAGTGAAGCTTAGCCCCTAGTTTTTACATTTGCAAGCATGCTGTTGATGTACTTTTTCTGAAAGCAAAAAAAAAACAAAAAAAAACAGGAAAAGAGAAAATCGTTTTTCAATTGAAAAAGCTTGGCGGTGAGGGGAGGGGAGGCAGGGGGTGCAAGGGGGTGCAAGCGGGTGCAAGGGGGTCTCCTAAGCTCACCAAGTTCAGCACAACTGGAGACTAGATTTTCGTTTCCACCACGGACATCATTACCCCTGCTGCTGTCGTTGTTGTTGTTATTGTTGTTTTGGATTGTGGCTACGGCGGCAGTGAGAGGAGATGGAGATTGAGGATGTTCATGTGAAATCCCATCTGGTTTCCATTTTCCAACGATGGTATTTTGCGGATCCGCCAGTGTTTTCGCCACATCTTTTCCAACGGGGTGACGGACGTGCTCGGGAGGAGGACAACTAGTGTCCTCCTCGTCAACAATCACGCGTTCAGTCAATAAAACAGCACGACCATCAACTGCACCTCGTGGGGAAGTTGTTTCGACCCAACTGAAACGCCGGGCCGTCTTGGCTGGAACTTGTGGATGGAAGTTTGCATAGCTGCCATAGCCACCGCCATAGCCACTGCCATAGCCAGAGTTCCCCCTCCTCAGTGCAGCCGTGCTCTTCTCAAAGTTCTCGTGAATCTCGTCCACTGGAGGCGGCGTGATGGCCATCACATTTGCCTTCTGGGTGGTTGTTGAATGTGCCATGTTTGATGGCATGGTGTGCGGGTACCGGAGTCGCATGTCGCCATGGCCGCCACCACCGACGATGATGGCATCTGACTCAGCCATGTTGGTACTGCCATCATCTGGGTTCTCCTGCAGCACTCTTTCAGTGACAGTTTCTTCTTCCTCCTTTTCGTCCTGCATGCGACATAATTTCAACACGCCTTCCCAGTAAATTCATTTATATTCAAAATTGTTGTGTTCAAATTTCAACACATAAAGTCGTTTTTTCAACTTTTTTGCTTTATTTCGTGGATCATTTGCCAACGTGAAGAAATTATGTTAAACCACCAGTACAAAAAACTGTCGCAGTGGCATTTCCGAAAAATGTCGATCCTCAGGCAACTTGAGAATCGACATCGGCTCATTTTCCGAAGAATACCGGAGGCTTGGGGCAACCAGACCATAATGGCTGGCTGTGCCAAACAAAAAACAAAAACACGCCATGCTGGCGTTTCACCAAAGCTGGTGTGCGGGGGCCGAGTCCCACTACACGACGGTTTAATTTCTTCAGGAGATATCTCACAGTGTGCAACTTGGCTGATAACCGCAGATGTAGTGGGAATGGCGGACGGGGCCCCTGCATCTGGTCGCCCCCTGGAAGAAGGAGCCCCATCGTCATCATTCCAACTGCCACCTACCGATCCCCCTGTGCCTGTTTGAGCAGGGCCCTGGAATGGTATAGGCAAAAGGCGTCCCACACTGATAGACAAGCTGTCATCATCCAGGACATCGAGTGGGACAGAGTGATCGATAGTGGGGGATGGGGGAGAGGGAGGAACTCGTTTCTCAGCAGCAGGTATCTGGCGCCTGGTACAGGGCGAAGAGTTTTTTTCCTTTTTCCCAACAACCTGCACAGTCAATCCTCTGGAGGACAGAGTAATCAATGCTTGCAGGCGTCTTTCTCAGACATATTTCCTGACATTTTCCTGATTCATTGTGTGTAAGGGACGCTGGACCCGTTTTCCAGCAGGTGATGCTCCCCACCAATAGATGGAGCCTCTCCCCGGGTGCTAGTGATGCCTGCTTTTACCAGCAGCACTAGCACTGCAGGAGGGTGTTGTTTAAAAAAAAAAAAAAAAAAAAGGGGTAACTAGGCGGGAGTCACAAAAACGAGTTATACTTGCACTATGGGCCAAGATAAAGTTTGCAATTGCAATTCGGGCACCCT